AACCGAGGGGTCATGTGCCACAAACTTGATGACCGCTTGGGATGACCAGACTACTAGACGGAACAACAAAGAACCGGTCCATCTTATCCTCTTGGACTTGGCCAAAGCTTTCGGTAGCGTCCCACACTGCACCATGCTCACCAAAAGTGCGAAAGTGGGTGTCACCGAACCACTCATAACATGGTTTACAACATGCCTGGAGGATGGAGAATTCTTCACTGAAGTAAACGGGATTCGACCAACCTGGAGGAATGCATGAACAGGAGCTTATTAAGCAGTGGTCTTTGGGCCAATCCTATTTTTACCATTCCCATTACATTTTCTTCATCTGTCCTCCCATTAGCCAATGTCATAAAAATATGGAGGGCGACAGGTGATGAAGAGGATCCCAGGATACTCCAAAACGAGCTGTCGCAGCTGGAGTCCTGGTCAGCCGTAAACGGTTTAAGCTTTGACCTGGAGAAGTGCAAAATGATGTACCTTCGCACACCAGGGGTGATGAAAACCTGCTACGTTCCTAACAAGTATGCAATCACCACGGTATCCACAGAGAAGGACCTAGGAGTAAACTTCTCTGACACAGTGGACACTAATGGTAATTATAGGGGAATGGCAGCAAAGGCGGTTTCCCTAATGCACTTTCTAAAAAAGGTAGCTTGGACTGTTAACCTCAGAATTATTCCTTAGGGTATTTAAAACCTATGTTAGACCACACCTAGAGGTGTTCAACACGACATCTCCACCCCGCACCACTAAAGAGAGGCGCAAATACTCTCGAGAAGGTACAGAGAAGAGCAACAAAGTTGGTTGTGGGACTAACAAGCAAAACATGTGCGCAACGCCTCAGGCAGCTCAAGTTGTTCACACCAAGCTATCGGAGGAAACGAGTTAACCTGATATCATCATCATCAATGTCAACATAGGATCAGGCATTACTGCGTAATGGTCCGAGGGCCACACCTCATGTCAGTACTTCAAAAAAAGCAGTGAAGTGGAAGATGAAGAAAAAAATATTCAGTCGAAGGAAATATAAAGTATCGAAAGAGAGAAACGAAGAATGAGAAAGTGGTGAGATTTGGTATAGTGTTGTTAAGATGAGGATGATGTGTATACATCTGCGCCACTGACGTCCGTTCTTGGCCATATCACCTAGAGTCTCCAACCACTGGTACCTCTTGTCCCGCGGACCCCGACCGGCTAGCCTGCATCGACCCGCATGGCTCAAACCAACAGTCAGGGACTTCGTGCATTGGCACCATGTTTTAGTCTAGCCACCTCTGGCCTTTTTACAGCCTGGGCCTACTTCAGCCAACATTGCGTGACGAGGCAATCGGTGACTAGGCATATGTAGTACATGTCCCAACCGTCTCAATCGATGAAGATTCACAACATCGTCAAGCGATTTACCTGTATTCCCTAAAACTCTACTCCTGACTTCTGCATTACTCACGTGGTGACACCACGGAATACTTCATAAGCTACGAAGGTAACGGTGGTCAAACACCTGAAGCCAGCCTTCTCATGTTTTCCACCTTCAGCGACCACTTTTCACAGTCGTACAGTAGAACAGCCCGGATTGCTATGCAGTACACGCGACCCTTATTAAACATTCGGATATCACGGCGGCGCCGCGGGTGGCGTAAATTGGCAAAAGCCAATCGAGCCTTTCATGTTCGTTCGGAGATTTCACCGGCTACTGAGCCACCAGGGCTGATCCTACTTCCCAGGTAAGTGAATTGGTCGACACACTCAATCACCTCACCCTCCGTCGCTAACCGTGGCACCGATGAAGACCAATCCTGGAGAAAACTTTGCATTGGGGTGGTGAGAACTGCATCCCAAATACTCAAACTACCACTCAAAGTAGTCAGAAGACTCTGCATCTTGTCAGCGTCTTCACCTAACAGGGCTATGTCATCTGCATATTCTAGGCATAACGGAAATTCTCCTGTGATTAGGTCAACCTCTGTGTAATCAAGTGACGAGTGGGAGACCCCCATAGGAATATGTATGATAAAATTGAAAGAATTGAGACAGTGGACAGCCTTGACGAATACCACTCGATGAGCATAGCTCCCTGGACATCTCATCATAGGCTCGAACACACCCACTTGTGTTCGAGTAGAGAGCCTTCGATGAGGTGATGTACTTACTCGTCACGCCTTTCAGTGAGAAACGTTGCCATAAAACATCTCGATCAACGGAGTAGAATGCCGCCTTCAGGTCGATAAATACAGTATTGTGGGGTGCCTGGGCTCCAATCAGGCGTCGGAGAATTATAGAACCTAGGATCTTAGACACTATGTTCGTCAGGCTGATTCCTCTGTGGTTATCACAAGAGGACTTCTCGCCTTTATTGAAGACTGGAATGATCAGTGATTTGGACCAGTCAGAGGGGATCATATTTGATTCCCACACACTGGTTAACACTTCTGTTAACCTGACTAAGAGCGCCTTATCACCGTTCTTAGATACCTCTGGAGTTAGTCCATCTGGTCCTGCTGCCCTTCCCCGTTTCAGGTTGCCTACAGCTTTCGGACTTCTGCTAGTGTTGTGGGGCCCATCTCAATGTTCCATTCAGGATCCGACTGGATAGCGGGCAACGCAATGGTGGCTGGAGGTCAGTTAAACTGCTCCCCGAAGTGTTCTGCCCATCTTTCCAGTCGTCTCCCCTGCTAGTGAATCGCAGATCCGTCCTCTGCCTTAGCCTCACTAACTGTTGTTGAACTTTTACCCCCAGTCCCCTTAATAAGTCTAGATAACTGCCTACTATTGCCGATCGTCAATGCCCCTTTCCATCTCTTTAGCATTCGCTGCCCACCACTGTTTTTGATCGTTGCGTAGACTTTCTCTCAGTCTACTTTTAAGTTGCACTCGCCCTTCATTGTACTCAGAGCCTACAGGGATTCGTTCGCGTGCATCTATTAGTTCGGAAGGAGCTGCTGCTGTCCACTGGCTCTTTTTAGCCACTCTTTCGGAGTCGGCTGCAGTCTTCAGTGCTGCTTTTACAGCATACTGGAGATAACACCAAGCTTCTGGATCAGTGATAGTCTTTCGTTCCGATGACTGTCTAGCCAACTATTCATTGAACACGGCTTTGGTGTCTTCGTTGTCCGGCAGCACTCGTTGTGGTTTTGTTTCCAAATTTTTCCTACGTCCATTGAGACGCAGGCATATACGCGCTCTGACCAACACGTGGTTGCTATCCAAACACGTACTCCAGAAGGAGCGTCAGTCTTCCACCGATCCTCCCCAGCGATGGCTAAAAGCAACCTCGTTGAGTTGAGCTCAGCAAACTCCACTTCAGACAGTGTCTTTCTTTATGCCTGAAATTGGTGCTGGCTAAAAATAGGCGGTTATCTGAGCATAGTTGTAATAGGCGATCACCGTTATCTGTACGTTCAGCTGGGATTCCGAAAGTGCCACCTAAGCTTCTTTCTGCCTCACTCAGTCTACCCACCTGTTTGTTGAAATCGCCTGCAACCACCACCACATCAGAAACGTTTGATTTTCGAGAGGAAGGTGAACAGTTTACTGTAGAACTCGCCCTTCACTTCATCCGAAATGCGGTCAGCGGGTGCGTAAGCAGAGATTACAAACAGACAGCGGCGGGTCTCACTATTCCTTTTAGTTCTCACTGTGCTGTCTAGTCGGATAGTGTAGAGGCGACTATCAACTGGGACCCGGCCTAGTAGTGAGTTTTATGCCCCAGTACTTGGTGCTATGCCTACACGCGCAGGACCGCGAGAGCTAGCTGTCGGATCTCCAGAAACTCGAAGGGTGAATCATGCGGATTCATCAGATTGGCCTGGAGAGGTCAGGTTCTGTATGCGTGTCTCACAAACACAGCTCACATCCATGACTCTAGTTGCTAGAGTCTTTGCCAACGAAGCCTGTTAATCAATTTGACGAAGGGTGCGGACATTGAAGGCTCTAACATGTAATTTGGTGCGTGTTTTAAGGAGACCAAGGATGCTGTTTTGTGTACTCGGATCGTTATCGAAGGCTGCAGAGCTAGGAGAAATTGAGGACGATGTAGTATCGTCAGTTGAGAGATGTGAAAAAAGATTAGAAGGTTATGATGGGGAGGGTGGACAGCAGTCTGAGGGAAATTGAGTGCTGACTGAGTTGTGAGGGCGGTTTACGCTTCCCAGTTTCCCACAGCATGGAAGACTATTTCATCTTAAGGTACCTGGAAGAGATTTGTGTGACCGCAGAGCCCATCGGACATCTGCTGGGGGCCTGCCACACGTAGTCCTTCGAGTATGAGTGCTTTGAACTTTTGTATTTTTGGGGCCGGATGGTCGAAAGGAAACGACAAGTGAACCAACACCGCCGGCCCGGCGGACAGTGGGGTACGGTGGGGTGTGTTATTTTAGGGGCCGACCTTTTATAACCCCCGCTTCCACTGAGAAGGCAGCATCAGCATGGCACAACTGGTCATTCAAGGGAAACACCTTACGACTTTCAAACCCCATCCAGCTAGAAGCAGTACGACGTTGGCAAGTGGACTACCCAAATAATGCAACATTAGTGGTTCAAAACAGACAGTGTCGTGGGAACTCCACTCGCATGCCCCACCGTGGGGCAAAGACGAGAAAGAGATCTAACTTCTCCCATAGAGTATATGCCTCATGGAACGCTGTGCCGAAGAAGGTAGCCACAGCTATATCAGTCGGCCCCTTCAGACGGCTACTGCATGAGTGTGCGAGCAAAAATGGCACACATGTCAGTTGCAATTGATGATGCACCCTTCCACTCTTGTATTCCCCAGCCCTAGCATCTACAATAAAAGGCATCTCTCCTCCATATTATCACCAGTCACATTTATCTTTTCATAAGTAATTTTCATTCCTCTTTTTCCCATTTCCTAGTCACCCTGTTCCTATCAGTTTTTAAGTAACGCTTAATACATACGAGCACTATTGATGTTGGATAGTGGATATGTGATATTTAACTTTCCTATAGATTGGAGGAATTTCAACCGTTGACCCTGAAAGATGACTTCGGGCGATCAGTCCCCAAAGTTAACATTTAGCAACAGGTATGCTATGCATTTTATTCGACAAGGTAAAATAGTGAGTTCGCACTCCTTACCATTCAGGAAAGGTGGCCGAAAATATTGTCTCAGTTGATTGATTCCATTTACCGAAATCGTGAAGTTTATTGCAGTAATGCCTGTAAAGTCAGTTACTCTTGTATTTCAGCGTATATATTATTAGGATATATCTGATAAGCTAAAGAAACTGACACGCCATGTTGGTCAACTGAGATATGATATTATGACAAATAAACCAATGACACTTTTGTTATCTGAACCCTTAGGCTCTGCTGAACTGCAACTTTGGAACCAGTTGCTTTCCAACTACGGAGTTAAACAAAAGCCACTGGAAGATGCAAATTGTATGGCCTCAAACGTATGCTGGTATGACCTCCCGTGGCTTTTTGCTGAATGTTATCTTTATCGTCGTGTCATTGATGTAGTTCTTCAAAGGTATTACGAGATAAAAATGTTGCGTGATTTTTAGCGGTCTTGATGAATTTGACCCGTTTTTCTTGAAAAAGCAGTATGGTCTCAGAAACTCTGAAGCTTTTATAACTTCTGTTCTTTCGTCTTTAACACGACTATCTGATTTATCGCCTGAACAGGCATTCAGCATCTTTTTACATGTGAGTTTTGTGAGAATAAGCTGTGTTTACCATTTTGTGTACAGCTGTTTATCAGTTTACCTAGGATGGATTTTAACAAGACGTGATTAGGTATGAGCATCTTGTTAATGATGGCTTCCGCTTCTTAAGGTAATACAGGCACAATTAAAGCGTTGCAGCAGTCATGGGTGGTGCAAGACGATCTCTCGCAAAATGATCCCTTCGATCTTACTGAGTTTGTCGGCAAGTAACTGCTATTTTTGTGACTGCAAGTTGCCATCGCTCAAAGTCAATGGGCGGACTGTATATGGACGACATAGTCTGTTCGTTGTTTCAAATGGATCATCGTAGCTTGAGTAAGGCAACGTCACATTTAAATGCTATTTACGCGTTTAATAGACCACTTGACAACTACTTTTAGGTGAGGAGCAATCATCTAATAAGTTTAAAATTACATAGTAACCGGCATATAGGGAAAAATACCGTTCGGAACGCTGACGCTTTTCTTTTTCAGTTTACATGCACCAGTACTGTTACATTACTACTGGGAATGTGGTAATTGTCTTTGATTTGAAGTTTGTCTTACGCAGTAAGTCCTTAACTCATTGGTTTAAGCGATTGGCTTCCAACCGATGGGTCATGGATTCGTACACCACTCCACTTACCAAGGTCCGGGCAGCCAGGTAGTACCATTAGTCGTTCCACAACAGGTGTAGGTCATTGCCTAGTGCACAACTGTGCACATGGTTACTGACTGTACTTTAAGACTCTGAAATCTTCAGAAGTTTGAGCATTTTAAGTAACCTTGACTATCAAATTCCTCCCATACACTTTTGTCTACTTTGATACCACTCTTTTTCTACCCACTTGTTCTGTGTTTGCTATTGTGACGTGTTGCAACTCGAACTGATGCACATAGATGCAAGATTATGCTTTGGTTTCCTCTGCCTGTGTCTGTGATATAATTATCTTCGTTTTGTTGTCTCCCTCTGTTCCTTTTCCCACCTTGGTGTGCTGACATGAAGTGTGACAATTGGAAACAATATAGTTATGTTAGGTTCAATGTTATTCATGTCTGTCTTTATGTGTTATCATGCTGTGTAGTTAATGGACTTCACTAAAGTTTTTTAGTTTCCTGTTGTCTTTGCAACAACAGAAATACGTCGATAGGTTTTCATGGTTCAGTTTTTACTTTTATGCGATCTGATTATTAGAAACGGGATAGTATGCTTCTTGCTGTAGAAGGTATGATTTTAACAAAATAACGTTTCTTTGCTTTTTTATTTTTGGGATTCATAGCCGACAGGACTAAAAACTTTTCTTATCGGTGATAAGTCAGATGTTTAGTTAAATAGTGTTTTCTTACTAAGAACGTATGTGTAATACGCCTCAAATCCCTGGTGAAGGTGAAGTTGAGATTATCCTAGTCATCTCAAAACACTGTCATACGGCCACGCCTTCATGTTTGCGTTTTCGCAGTGTCACTGTGAAGTACCGAGCAGGTATGTAACCCTAATCAAAGCTCTCCACTCGAATTCACTTAGCCGTGTAAGGGCTTATGACGAGTTGTCATGTGAATTGACGATAACTAGTCGTGTGCGTCAAGGATGTCCACTGCCACTATTCCTATTTAAATTCATTATAGACGTACAAATGAAAACAGTATTAAGTACGTCTGACTTCACGGGGTTCGATCTACTCTCTGGAGGTCATCTCGTTGGTTTGGAGTATGCAAACGATGTTGTCCTGCTGGGTGAAGATGCTGACAAAATACAGGGTCTTATAAACGCCTTGAGAAGAAATCTGAGTATGTTTGGCTGGCGTGCTTGAGGACTGGTCTACTGCAAGTACTCCCAGTTTGATGATGGGGACTGGTGATTGAATGTGTCGACCTTTTCACTTGGGGAGTTGTATCAGCCCGAACTGGTTCGTTATTGACGAAATTTCAGCTTGGATACAGAAGGCCTGTCTGGTACTTACCAACTTGTGTCATCTGAGGCACCGACCGACGAGATATCGGACTATTTATCAGAGACCGGGCATACTGCACCGCAGTTCCTTCTGTACTGTTATACAACTGAAACGTGGTCGTCAAGAGAAGATATGAAGAGAGTACAGATTTTTGATCACAAGTATCTCCGTAGCATTGGTCGCATTCGGTGGAATTACAGTGTTGAGGTCAGGCGAAGGGTACTAGGCAAGCAAAGTTAATCGATTGATGAAGTTGTAACTTTAGTCGACTGAAATGTCTAGGACATATGTTGCGTATGCGTAGTGACCACCTGCCTTGCCACGCTATGCTAGCTAAAGTATGTTAAGGTTTGAAAAAAGCTCGGGTCAGACAGACTAAAACATAACAGTGCATGAAACATCTGACTGTTGATCTGAGTCATTTAGGGAGATAAAGACCAGCCGGTTGGTGTCCGTGTGACAACAGAAACCGGTGGTTGGAGACTAAGTGAAATGTCTGAGAATCGATGACTGACGCAAATGTATACATATATTATCTTGCCATACTGAACTCAGCATTTTCTCATTCTTACTTCCTCTGGTTTATTGCTTTCCGCAGCTTTTAACCAATTCTGTATTACTTCAATATACTATGAGGTGTAGCAACTGGAACCGTTAAATGGTAACGTCTGGTCCTATGCTGATTAATGATGGTGATGGCAACTAAATGGCTTCATGTGATAGAAGTCGTACCTAAAAATCGAAACCTGTTGCGATCACTCTGCGATTCTCTTTCTTTTATTATCAAGAAGTAAAGCCAAAGTAATGAGTGTTTCTTTGCACGCTTGAGAATACTTCTCTAATAACATTTGAGAACATGTTTTTGTATGAACTTTTTATAGTAGTTCAGTGGTCACACCTTTCGTTTGCAGTTTGATAATGGTGAGGATTGTGTTGTTTGAAGTTTTATCCAGTGACTAAAAATCACTATTATGTTCACTGGCTTCACTATAGGTTGATAAAAAAAAAGAGCCATTTATTAGAAATCTCCTGGTGTTGTAATATTTAGGCTTCTATGACTTGGCTACAACATGCATATTCATGTCGTGCTGTAGTTTTCCCTTTTGTAGGGAAGCGTGTTACAATTCCGTAACGTTTAATCAACCGTACCTAACTTGATATGCTCTAGTACCTGCTTAACCAGTACTTTACCTAACGTGTAAGTACTGATAAAACACAAGTCAAAAGAACTGATAAGGAATATATTTGAAAGACCGATGTATTTAATTAAGGCAAATGTAATAATAATGAATGGGGAAAAGCTTAATCAACTTGTCTGGCTTGTAAGGCTGAACTAGGGACTAGGAGTACGTGCGTGGTAACCAGCACAATGGAGCGCAAAATGGCGTTCAAGCCTGCTCGGATGCATGCTCGTTAAAACAAAACTTAAAACACCCTAAGCATCCGGAGGCGAGCTAGAGGTTTATTTAGTTAATTTAATCTATTTATTTTAGAGCTAGTTGTATTTTGGTGCCAGGAAGGTGCACTACACTTTCATAAATCCATCTTGTGATCATTATTCACTTAGTCATTTTGCATCCCAAGCAAAATATTAAGCCACATCATCCTGGAGAGACTTAAAAAAAATGCTCTGGATTCAAAATTACGACCGGAACAGGCTTGCTGGCTTCAGGAAGAACAAATGTGCGGATCAAATTACAACGCAACGCTACGCATCATCATAGAACAGAGCATAGAATGGTAGTCAACTCTTTACGTCGACTTCATCGACTTTGAAAAGGCCTTCGACAGCCTCGACCGAGAATTAATTTGGCAGCTGCTTCAACATTATGGAGTGCCACAAACCTTTATCAGCCTCATTCAACAGCAGCTGTATGCTGTGTGATGCTACACGCCAAGTGATTCACGATGGAAAGCTCAGAAGAGCCTTTGAAGTGAAGACAGAAAGGAGTAAGACAAGGTTGCCGCCTAATATCACCGATGATCTTCCTGATTGTGGTTGACTGGACTAGATCATGTAAGAAACTGTGGGGAGCGAGAAGATGGGCATACCGATGAAAGGCCCCAGAAGATTTGGATTTCTCCGATGATGATTTGTGTCTTATGTCGCACAAACTCGAAGATCTACAGGCGAAAACTAATAAGTTGGCAGAAGAGGCAGGCCAGCGAAGACGGGACTTCCTTCAGGTGAATATAGAGAAGACGGAGGTGATGAAGATACTCAACTAACAACAACAAGCACCGATCACCATCAACGGGAGAAATGTAAGGGAAATTGTCTCTTTCACCTACCTACCCACCTAGGCAGCATCGTCTCAGCTACAGGCGGCGGCACAGATGACGATGTCAAAGCCAGGATCGGAAAGACAGCAATACAGGCCTTCCTGCATTAATCTGAAATCAGTGTGGAGATCTACTGCACGGACTGCACTCAACAAGATCCGGATTTTCAACACTAAGTCAGTAAAGTCAGTGCTTCTATGAGATGGTTGAGAAACTTGGCGCGTTACGAAAAGCATTTCTAATAAACTGCAGTCAACATACTTGAACAGCTGCCGCCTACGCTCGCTCGGTGCTGAAGATTGGATGACCAGAAAGAATAAGCAAGAAGAAACTCTGGCTAGTAAGGAACCAACCAAGAACCTATTGCCCAACAAATATGGAGAAGAAAGTGAAGATGGATTGGGTTGGACATACACTTAGAATACGGTTTGGGGACATCACGCACCAGGCCAGGCCATCGAGTGGAACTGAAAGGGGAAACGACGAGTTGGGCGTCCAAGACGAGGGTGAGATGGAAATGGTGTGAGGAAGAAATGAAAGCTTCTGGGAAGTCGTGGAGGCAGGTTCAAAAGAATGGAGAGAAGAGAGTGAAATGGCGACGTGTTACTGATGCCTTATGTTCCACTAGGAACGCAAGGGACAAATAATAATAATGATAGTCATTCATAAAAGTCCAATAGAGTATCGTATTCTCGGTGTCATTCATACTAGTCTACTATTTCACAACGTGCTACTAAAGTCCTATGTTCCACTAGGAACCCAAGGGGCAAATAATGATAATATAGTACTATTTCACTATTGTGTTCATATTTGCTAGTTTCGAAACCTTTATTTACATTGCGCGACGTGATTCGATCAACTGTGATCTCATAGGTATTTGTGACGGCATTCCAGGGTGATCTTGGTGGTCCAAGTTTAGACAAGCATCAAATTTTTGTTGGTTTTAAAAAAGAAACGCACTCGACCACCTTGTGCCTATCTGTGCAGTAGACAGTTAGCCCCACCTATTGCTAGAGGGCTAGAAGTACTATTTGTCCACCCGATCCTAGGTAGGTAGAGCTTGGTTCGAACCCATGACCTACTGTTTGATAGTCATCTCCGTAAACCACTGAGCCATAGCTCTCAGTCATCTTCTTGGTTTTAGAATATGAGTAGGTGACTTTCGTCATGCTTTTGTCAGATCAGTTCCCCTTCCAAGTACTATTCAAGTAGTAAATCATTAAACATCTTTCCTACTATATTTCTTTCAGTCTTCTTTATGGGCCAATGAATATGACTTATCACTTAATCCCGATGGTGAATTCCAGCAAACTGGTTTTGACCAGATTTCAGACTACATTAGACGTGCTGAAGAACGAACAGTTGTAAATGATATCGACATAGTACGCCAATTTTGTGTAAACTTTTCAGAACGTATGAGTTCAAATGGTTGTAATCGTAAGCTTCGTGTGGTAATTGTGCTTGATAATGCTGGTCCTGAGTTGGTTGCCGACTTGTGTCTCGCTGAATACTTTTTAGCGAGCGAATTGGCCGAATCTGTTACGTTTCATGGAAAATGTATGCCTTGGTTCGTTTCGGATGTTACTAGTAAGGATTTCAACTGGTTGCTAAACATAAACACTTCGAATTTCAAGGGGATAGATGATGGTCAGCATATTCACTGGATCTCAAAATGGTCTGAAATTTGGCGAAAACGCGTCCATAATGGCGACTTTCAATTCAAAACATCATACTTCTGGACTCTACCTTGTACATACGATGAAATGGAAGCATTTGACTCCGTCTTATATGAAGATTTGGCCAAGAATTATGATCTGATTATATTCAAGGTATGTTCTTCCTTTTTGTTTTGACTTTCTTCTAAATTAATTGTAATCTATTGAATTTGGGGGTTTGTGGAGATTTAGTGATTTTTCAAGTTGGTATTCATCATGGGCTGACATCACTTGGAGGGACATTGGAAACCCGGGGGCACTAGACAGTTGTTTCGTTCTAGTATGAGACTCCTTAGCAGTGCTCACTCATGACCAGGCCTGGGATTCCCACCCAGTGGCTCAATAGTAACATGCTGGCCACGGAACCTGAAGGTCCCGGGTTCGATCCCTGGCAGGGTGGGGTCATGGGTGTGCGCTGCTAAGGAGTCTCATACTAGGATGAAACAGCTGTCCAGTGCTCCCAGGTTTCCAATGTCCCTCCAACTCATGTCAGTCCAGATGAATATCAACTTTAAAAATAACCCTTATCTGTAAAATGCGTAGATATACTTCAGCTAGAGTTGCTACATTTCACATCGTTTCAGAAAGAAAGTTCGAAATAGAGAAATACCGTAGAATTGATGGCGAGAAAATAAGTCTGATAAATATAGGCAAATAGAATGTTCGAAAGCTGGAAGAAGATTTTTAAAAGGCATGTGTACATACATATCCAAGTCTTCTTTTTGGCGCTTTTTACCTAGTTACTTGTTTGCATGAGACCTGTTTCTACTGTAGAATTTGACTCCCTTACCTTTATTATCGATGTCATGGATTCAAGTGTAGTGACTAACATCAAAAGTACGGGGATATAACATTTAAGCGTATTTTCAAATCCTACACTCCACCTAACTATGCAAAGGAATTCAGTAGTAAACAGCTATATCCCATAGCTATGAGTGTCTTTTACTCCAAGAATATATTGAACATTTCTTTCTGACCATTTATTTGATGCCATCTAGTTAATCACATGTTCGAAATCTATTGAAGATCAATTCCGGTGGAGTTACTCTTGAAGAAGTAGCATCTCATTAAGTGAAGGACGTCATGTAATTGATCACTACTGCCTACATAGGATCATCTGTATGTGTAATTGAACCACTGTTTGAGTCCTTTCTGTCTTGTTATATGCCTGTAAGACGGTCATTGAAAGTAGAAGATATAAATAGACTACAAATTTTTGATCACAAATGTCTTCGTAACATTGTTCGACGTTTTGATAGAATCACCGTGTTTGCAATGTTGAGGTCGGACGAAGGGTACTGGGCACGGGAGGTTAGTCGATTGATGAGGTTGTGAACCTTAGTCGACTGAGATAGTTTAGACATGTACTGCGCATGCCAAGCCACCGCGTACCTCGACGTACCATAGGGGGGATCGGATTAGGTTGGGAGAGTGTTCAGGTTGGCCACACACTCCCTGGGACCAATCGATGAATTCTCTGGTTATTGGTCTGAGGCGTGTGGAAAGATGTAGACTGCCTGATCAGTTGTTGAGGACTCTTGGTAGCATAGCTGAAAATCGGTCGCAGTGGTGCAGTTGTATTCACTCTTTGACATTCTTTGAAGCTTGTATATTTGCACTAACCGTTATCTCCGAATTGTTTATTCTGTCAAACAACTACTGTGTACTTTGAAATGGTGGAAAAAGTGTGTAGCTCAGGAAGGGAATGGTGATAGTTTGGTGTTCTCTGAGCTCTGATACTTAGTCGTGAACGTTTCATGACTAGGCTTTGTGACATCTTCAGCACTAACTTTATAAAGAAGTTATTGCTGAAGATGTCACTTTGTTTACTTTGGTATCACTCCTCCTTCTATCCACTTGTTCTTTGTATGTTGCTGTAGAGTGTGGCAACTTGAATCGATGCAGTCGTGTGCGAGGTTCTACGTTGATTTTGTCTATCTATCTCAATGTTTAAGCAATTTAGGGTTAAATAAGATCATGGGTAAGAGAAGTAAGTCAGTAAATGGATGAGTCTGTAAATCTAAAAAGGAATTCCCTTCGCTGTGAAATCTACACAGCAGAATACGCAAAGTAATTCTACCTAACCATGTAGAGGTTTTATGCACTGGATTATGAGTTCGGATGTTAAATGTTTAAGTCAGTAACCTACATTTTTTCCATTGGGGAGTGAGCTGCGTTCTTATGTTAATTGGTGTGAAACTGTGGGTCATGGGTTCAAAACCTGCGCCGCTTACTGTTGTTTAGGCATAGAGGTAGTATCATTAACATCCCGACACATTTAATGAGGCTCATTGCTGACTGCATTAATATGCAGAAGGTAGCTTAATGCATTTCCATTCGATTTGACGTTAATTAGTGGGAATATATATCCATAGGCCTCTGATTATAGGTCTATCTGTTGTGAGATAGTATTGTAAGACAATAATTATTCTCTTTAAGTCAATCTTTTTTATATAAACGACTATTTATTTCATTGAAGTAAGCATACTTGTATTCAGTTAGTTAAGCAATATTTCAGTCTTTTGATTTTCATTCAGTTAGACTTTGGAGAATAGTCATCATTGAGCATAGTGAGTCAGTAGAATCAAAGTAAGCAAAGTATCACTTTAGCTGCCTACTACAGTGTTTACTTAACTATACATCATTCAGTAATTTCGCATGGTCAGTCACATATACAACACTATTTTCTATTTGAATCGATGTTATCAATCCCGTAATAATAACTGTCTATTTAGGTAACACGTTGTTAGTTCAACCTACAGGCATAAATGTAAAGAACGATTACTCCTTGATATACGCTTAATCTGGTCATACAAAACATGATTATTTCGCATTTGTTCAATGTTAAAGTATTACTTTAAGACACTGGTTTTCATCCACTACTAGCTTATGGATAAGAAGTGGAGTTGTGGAATGCGATCACTTCATTTACCTGAAAAGTTGCATCAACTCTAATGAGTTAGTTGGTGATAACATCTCAGCTTGGATAAAAAAAAAGCCTATTTTTTAAATTTCTGGTACTGGCAAAAGATATCCATTTCCCATTTTAGGGAAGTGTAGACTGCCTGATTTAGGTTCTCAAAATGTTAGGCAATAACTACTGTAAATATTTGATATAATTCAAAGATGTATGCACTGTTCTTCATTTTCACAATTTTAGATATTTTTTACTAACTTTAATTTATTCAAACTCTTTTCTCATATACAGTTTTGTTTGGTTTCATTATCATTCATCATCCATCTATTTCCCCTTTTTACTGTGAAGTATGGCAACTTGAGCCGATGGGCTTGTATGTGAGGTTCTACGTTGATTTTTTCTATCTGTCTCTGTCAGGCAAGGGATACTAGGCAAGATAGACAAGTCAAGGAATGAGGTTGTGAACCTTCATCAGGTGGGGTGGCTTGGACGTGTATAGCGCATGTCAAGAGGGTTCAGGGTGACCAGACCAAAATGTGGCAGCAGTCCGTGAAGTCCCTGATTGTTGGTTCGAGTCGTGTTGAGAGATGCAGACTACCTGGTTGGGATCTCCGAAACTTTAGGAATCAGTGATTGATAACTGTTCGTGACATAGCTGGTAATCGGTTTCAGTGACACAGATAAATTCACTCTTTGACATCTTCTAAAGCTTGAGTATTCACATGTACTTTTATCCTCAGATCGTTTATTCTATCACACAACTTCATCCATTTTGAATATCATTCTTTTTCTATTCACTTGTTCTTTGTATGTTGCTCTGAAGTGTGGCAAGTTGAACCGATGCATTTCTGTGCAAATTTCTATGTATGGTCGATTTTTGTACCTGTTTATCTCACTTCTCTTTGTGTGATGATTTTGGTAGCTGACGTGTTATGATGATTGTTTTTTTCTGTTATATACTTTCATGTTGATGTATTGAAGTAAAATAATGCGGTAACTTGTAATAATGCATCTTGATGCCAGATCCATGAGTGTATTGTCTACCTGAACCAGTAGATAATAAATCATTGACAAGACAGATCATCATTATTACAGAATGCTTGTTTAAGCTGTTCTGAACTTACTGTGTTGTTAGTCTAAGCCTACTCACTTATCTTTTAAATGCTTTATATTTGCACGCTACGCTTAGTAACGTAACACTTAAAGGTAGTTCACACTTAGTTCTGCAGCTTGCATTGAATTATAATTTATCTCTAAGTAAATCTTTGATTTTTTGGATAAGGATCTGCTAGTCAGTTACAACAAGTGATTGTAAGCACATTACTCAGATGTTTTAACGAATAAAGTAATCACAGTTGTATGGCTATGGATTATATCTGTACTGCTAAATATTTTATACTAAGCCTTATCTAGAAGTGTCTACAGGATTATTATTATTATTTAATAAATCAATCTTGAATGAGTACAAATAGAATCAAAATCCACTCTGCAACTTTGCACACATTCGTATAGTAGGCGATAAGTCACACCTATTGTCTGAGTGGGCTATTGGTACTGCCCAAACCTCGATAGGTGGATCAGTTTTCGAACCTATGACCCCACTGGATGAAGGACAACTCTATTAACCAATGAGTACACAACTTAACCCACAGTTACTAGAATGAAGAAAGATTAATTATAGTTTGATGTTAAGAGCTTCTGCAATCCGTAACCAACATGACGTTTTTCGTTTGTTGATTATCGTGAAGGAGTGAGAGACATCTTTTTGATGTCCTGTTTCCGTCAGGTGCCTGGCGATTGCGTTGGTAAGGACCTTATTACCTTTCAGACGCGGATTTCTCAGAATATGCTCATATAATCGAGTAGACGATCTTCTTCCGGTCTTTTCTATGTACTTGTCTCCACAAGCACATATGAATTGACATGTACAGTTGGGGTATGAATACGTGACTGTTGGTCATATAGGCATGTGTGTATTGATGATGGTTGTTCTGTAATCCGCAATCATGAAATGTGTCCAGCAGATTATCTGTATCCTTTATCATTTAAAGAAAGGAATTGTGACTGGTTTCTATACCAAATGTAGACTTTATAGTGCGTTAACAAATAGTTACCAGGAAATTCAGTAAACATATGGGGAAATAATATTCTGCATGTACTTTTGTGGACTATTGGATGGTTAATTAGCTGTCATGGTTATCTTAAAGTATCTTAAGACTTATTTACTGGATTATTTGGAGTTTGACCATGTCTGTGATGTATATGGATTGACGATAATTAAAAAACCATTAATGTCGTGCATTTTGTGATTATGTGTAACTGCATACCTAGCCGCAACCGAGCTTTACTCTAGATCCCCTATCTTATTAGAAATTACTAATCTTGACTTAGCCAGAGTTTTTGTGCTTGGATGGCCTAGTTAACCTTCGTCGACTGACTACTTTGACTCATATATTTGACCCCTCAATCGTTGCAAGGGACTTGGCAAACCAAATTATTCCGCTTAATTGGATCAGTTGGATCACTTAACCTACAAAACTTGTTTCTAAGCAAGTTTTTTTGGTTTAAATAACACTATAATTTCAGGCTTATTAAAAGTCCTGCATAATGTTTCTGAGGTGTCTTTCGTGTATGGTAATGTTCTAGAGGTTTTTAGTTCTCTCATCATCAAGATCAACATAGGAGCAGGGATTGCTGCGTAACGATCCAAGTTGCCACATATCATATGAGTACATCGAGTAACAAGGCAATAAAAGGGAAAATGAAGAAGGAAATAAAAATTGGTGTGAAGGAGTAGAAAGTAGTAAAAGGGAGGGAGGAAGAATGAGAAGATGATGAGATTAAGTAAAATGGTTAAGATGAGGTTATATATATATATATATATATATATATATATATATATATATATATATATATATATATATCTGCGGCAGTGATATTGGTTGTGAACCATATCTCTCGTAGAGTCTGCAACCACTGATTTCTATTGTCCTGTGAAACCTAACCCGTTAGTCTGTATCGCCTTATATGGCTGAAACGAACAGTCAAGGACTTCTCTCTTCACAGTATTGTTGCCACTAATATTATTATTGTTATGAAAGTCTAAACAGTACCATCTATTGAAACAATGTTTCTTTTTGAGTTCAGTGTTAAGTTAGCAGATGAATGAGTGTGCCATTTTGTGCATATTACATACAATAAAGTTGTTTGTGTGTAACAGATATCGTCTTTGGAATATTACCATAACCATATTTGAACTGACATGATAATCACTATCGTGAACATGAGTAATTCCACTTTTGATGACAATTTAGAAAGAGCCTTTCCTCAGATGTCTGTGGACAACATGGTGTGTCTAACCGTTAACAATTAAGTCGAACAGTAAAAAAGCTTACTACAGTGACATAATACTTAATTTCCCTAGATCAAGAGGGATATTCTGGCTGTCATTATTATTTAGTGATTCTACATATTCTCGCGCTGATTCATATTTTCAATCGAAGGTAAAGCAGATCCTACTTAAATGTTATATTGGTCACATCTAACACTATTTATTTATTTATTTGTTCATTTATTCACTTATTTATTTATTCATTCGTTTATTTTTTAATTACTCATTTATTTATTTTATGCTATTCATTAATTCGTTCATTTATTTATTCACTTAATTATTTATTTATCAAAGGGTGATCTAAATTACCGTAAACTTTTGGGTGATCGTCAATGGAAACCTGATAATCCAATGGATAAGATCAATGCTTTCCGTGGTGTACAGATTGGTAGATCATTGAAGTGTTCATGTTCAAAAAATGTTAATAATTTGAAAATTGGTTCTCCTATTGCTAATTGTTCATGTGGTCCAATGATTATAACTCTTCGAGTTGCAAAATCAGATGTAGCTGTAGGTTTAGAGATTGATTGTTTAACTGAATTGTTAAAGAAAAACAAAAATTGGTGGACTATTGGACAGTATGGTTTTATTCAAGTTGTTTCTCCAATTGTATATGAATCAATATCTACTATGTAATTTCTCTTATCTCTTTATTATATCTATTTTCTAATCTCAGTTTCAATGCTTCTATTTTTTGAAAAATGATTATATTAGGACCATATTTATTTACTTTTTATTTATTCAGTTTTTGTTTATATTTATATATTAACATTATTGGTTAGACAATATTTTGGGCATATAATGAACTGCCATGACGATTATATTGATTCGTTAGTTGATATGAATAAATGCGGAGGTATGGCTCAAGGGTTTAGGGAGATGTTTATCAACCAGTGGGTCATGGGGTTGAAGCCCGCTCCACCTATCGAGGTCTGAGCAGTCAGACATTAGTATCAGTGGATCTTACACGATAGGTGTGGCTCATTGCCTACTACATGGATATACACATGCTGGCTGAGTGCATTTCATTCGTTCATTGTTTCGCATTACTACCACACCTCATAAAGGTAAATTAAGGTTGAAGGTACTAAGGTGAGGAAAAGAGTAGTCAGCATTTCTAAAAACAAGAAAGGTTGAAAAAAAATAATGCAAAAAGATAAGGCTTAGGGGGAATTTGGATCACTAAGATCAATTTTGAAACATATCACCTAGAGTCTGCAGTCACCGATTTCAGTCGTTGTGTGGACGCCAGGCGAGATATCTACATTTTTCTATGTGATTCAGGTCAATAGTGCCATTTTTTATTTTGACCTAGTATAGTTAACATTTCACGTTGAAATAGGCAAGAACTGAACGTGCATAACACATATCCTAGCCAACCATTGAGTTGATCTGCGATTCACGACCACTGAAACGATGGGCAGAATAATTCAACTAGTCCCCAACTCGTATAACGTCATCCACTATCCAGTCAGATCCTGAATGAAACATTGAGATAGGACCTTGTAGAAGTGGAGAAAACTGTAAGTAACCTGAAACGAGAAAGAACATCAGGGCCAGGTGGACTAGTATTAGAGGTACATAAAGACGATGATTTGAGGTTACTAGTTAGACTAAATGAAGTGTTAGCTAGCGCATGGGAATCAGATACCATCCCATCTGATCGGTCTCAATCGCTGGTTGTTTGAGCTTTAATGAAAGGAGAGAGATAGTCTTATGGTGTAGCTACAGGGGAATTAGTCTGATGAACATAAGATTCTAGGTTTCATGATTTGATGTCTAAATGGAGCTCGGGAACAGCGAACCTAAGAATGGATGAGTTGACTAGATACTCACTATCCACTAGGTTGTAGAACACATACCGGATACTGGCTGTATTTCTCGATCTGAAGGCGCAATTTAAGAGGTTTTATGGTAGTATCTATTACTGAAAGGAATGCCTGTCAGTTACACTACTCTGTTGAATGCTCTGTACTCGAACATGTGTTGTCATTCAAGAATGTTTGGAATGCGTTTCTCAACGCCTAAATGCAAATTCTTAGTTCAGAACTGATCTGCATTGGTACGAGAAGCCAAAATTCTAGTTGAGAAAGCTTGTTGTATGATTCGATGAAGAGTGTTGTTATACAAACCTCTGATATGTAGTTTTGTGAAGCCGACGAATGCTAATCCATTAACAGAGCTCGAAGAAGTTAAATGTGACGTGGGATTATTGATCGAGAGATGTGGAGAAAGATCTGAAGGGAAATGTGTGGAAAGTCGATACTGATCTGGGAGAACTTGAGTGCTGACAATGTTGTTAGTGCGGTTTCCACTCGGCTTCCTACACCATGGAAGGTTAGTTTTCTTGAAGGTATCTGAAAAAGAAATTGGGCTAGCAATGATGGTACTTGATCGCAGAGCCCAATGGATATCTATTTGTGGCAGGTTATGCACGACCTCTTTGGAGTTTTGAGATCTAAATTTATTTGTTTTTAATCCAGCTAGAAAATTCATACCACCGGCACCATAGGGATAATGTGCTATTTTCAAAGCTGACCTTTTGTACCCTCTTCCATATGGAATGCAACATGAGTATGAACTGCTGGTCATCCACAGAAAATATTTAACTGCTATCAAACCGCGTCTATCCAGCAGCATGACTTCACCCTCAGACTCCTATAACAACTTGGTTATACTGTAACGATAACTGCTTTTTGTCTTACGACTTTCCAACAGATTTATCTGATATGGTTGGGTCTCAAATAAAAAGAATATACTACCGGTATAGTTCTTTGGATGATTCGATAAGTAAGCCTGACTATCACATCAAGGTAGCAGTTATCGGTCGGGAATTGAGAAGCCAAATTAGGTGTGATACTTGAAAATAGATTCGTAATGGAAACCAAGTTCATTATTTCAATTAAACGAAGAGATTTATCAAGATATACATAGGAATAAGTAGTGATGGTAATACTACTTACTCAGATTTGCCTTTGAACTGAGCATTTATGAATCATTCTTTGAGGGATTTCTATATATTCAGATTGTTTTACACTACTCATCTTATAAGCTTTTAGTATAAATCATCTTCAATATCAACATAGGACCACGGGTTACTGTATAACGGTCCGAGTTACCACAGGTCATATCAGCACATCAAGTAAAAAGGCAGTGAGATGCAAGATGAAGATAGGAGAATGAAGTCAAAAGAAATATAAAGTAAGAAAAAAAAGATAAAGGAAGAGTGAGAAAATGGTAAGATTCGGTATAGCGTCGTTAAGATGAGGATAATATGTGTGTACATCTGAACCACTGACTTCGGTTCTGAGCCATATCTCCAACCTCTTGTCCCGCGGACTCCAACCGGCTAGTCTTCATCGCACCACATGGCTGGAACCAACATTCAAAGACTTTATATATTGTTGGTATAAATGGAAGCAATGGATTATTTTTTAATCATAGCAAAGGTTTTCTTTATCTTATTAGGGTCTGCAATCTTAATCTAGCTAGGTTTTTCTGTTCGGATAGCCCAATTGACCTTAGTCGACTAATTTGACCTATATGTTTGACATCGCAATCGTTGTAAGGGATTTGGTTAACTAAATTATTTTGTCTAATTGGATCCATATAGTCTTCTAACCTGTAAAGCTTATTTCTAAGTGAGTTTTTAAGCCTAAATACCACTGTAATCCTAGCTTTATTGAGAATTCTCCATAATGCTATTGAGTTACCTTCTTTGTGTGGTAACACAGTAAATGTTTTGAATTCTCTCTTCGCATTGAGACGCATAGCTTAGTAAATAAAATTGTACACAGTTGAGTTGGATTACACATGAGAAGTTGATCACTGAAAGGTTGTGTCATCATCAAGATCAACATAGGAGCAGGGATTGCTGCGTAACGATCCAAGTTGCCACATATCATATGAGTACATCGAGTAACAAGGCAATAAAAGGGAAAATGAAGAAGGAAATAAAAATTGGTGTGAAGGAGTAGAAAGTAGTAAAAGGGAGGGAGGAAGAATGAGAAGATGATGAGATTAGGTAAAATGGATAAGATGAGGTTAGTGTATATATATATATATATATATATATATATATATATATATATATATATATATATATATATCTGCGGCAGTGATATTGGTTGTGAACCATATCTCTCGTAGAGTCTGCAACCACTGATTTCTATTGTCCTATGAAACCCAACCGGCTAGTTTACATCGCCCTACATAATGAGATGAACAGTCAAGGATTTCGTACATTGATACCATATTTACTCTGACTGCCCCAAGCATGTAATGTGTGTGCGAAAGATATTTCACTTTTGATTTAGACTTATTGTTGAAAAGTGTTCAACTGTTGTTCGCTTACATAATATCATCTACAACGATAGTTTCCTGTCTCTTATACTGATGAAGTTTATTTTATCGTACAGAATTTTCTGATTGGTTAAAATCGATTAAATGTTCGAAGATGAAACGTCTATTGGATTTCTTTTAATCTTTATCAAACCAAGCTGGAATATGTTCTCGTATGCGTGTTGATAATAATCTTTGGCTATAGCCGATGTACATTGCTTCACAGAAGCAAATGAACTGGTATAGATAGATATCTAAGTCTACACAAAATTGTACCACATATGTTCAATCGGTGACACTTCTATGACACACTGGCAAGTGAAGCAGAACAGGCTGCAGGTAGGAGTGACCTGATAACATTGTACCAAATAACCAGGTTACTATCTGGAAAGGAAGAGATCAACACGGATGAAACCAATAAAAGATGATGAGGGAAATTTAATTACCAAAGAAGAGAAAAAAAGCAAACGATGGGCCGACCACTTCAAGAAGCTCTTGAATCAACCACCACCTGCACTTCGTCCAGAAATACCACCTACAGCCGCTGAACTACAAGTGAACACAGGCCCTCGGACGAAAGTCGAAGTCCTGAGCTCCATAAAGCTACTGAAATGTGGGAAAGCAGCAGGATTAGACGAGATCACGCCAGAAGCACTGAGAGCAGACACAGAGACAACGGCGGCGGACATGCTCACACCACTATTGCAGAAGGTGTGGAAGGAAGAGAAGGTATCTGGCTAGTGATTGGAAGAAGGGTTACTTTGTCAAACTCCCGAAGAAGGACGACCTAAGTCTTTGCAAGAACTGGTGCGGAATCACGCTTCTGTCCACCCAATGCAAGCAAAATACTAAGCCGCATCATCGTGGAGAGACTAAAGGATGCACTGGATTCAAAACTACGACCGGAACAGGCAGGCAGCCTGGATTCATGAAGTACAAATCATGTGTAGACCAAATTGCAACGCTTCGCATCATCATAGAACAGAGTATGGAATTGCAGTCAACTCAACTCTACCTCAACTTCATCGACTTTGAAAAGGCCTTTGACAGCGTTGACCGAGAGGTAATTTGGAAACTGCTTCAGCACTACGGAATACCACAAACCTTTATCCGCCTCATTCAACAACTATATGAAGACTCCAGATGCTACGTAATTCACAGTGGGAAGCTCAGTGATGCTTTTGAAGTGAAGACAGGAATGAAACAAGGCTGTCTACTATCACCCATGATATTCCTGATTGTAGTGGACTGGACTGGATGATGCAGCAAACAGTGGGGAGCGAGAAGAGGGGGAT